CTCCCACCTCTCCTATTTCTGGAGTATTGCTTATGTCAATATATTAACCTTAGTTGCTCAGGCAAACCATCTTCCCCAGCAACACAGTTTCAAAAGCCCCACACATGCTAATTACTTAAAGACCTCCAAGTTAGGTTCTCCTTTGACATCATCAGCTTGTTAGCCTAACCCCAAATATGTGTATAGCACTGGGCACAATTTAATTGCCACAGCACACACTGTCAAAATGTGCCAATCTGTTTAGTTTGGGGAGGAATGATTCTAAGGAGGCCAAGTAAGTTTGCAAAAATTCCTCAGGTATGTGTGTGTGTGTGTGTGTGTGTGTGTGTGTGAGAGAGAGAGAGAGAGAGAGAGAGAGAGAGAAAGAGAGAGAGAGAGTGTACATATGCCTCATATCAGGGTAATCAATGTGGGAGAGCAAGAACCACCCAGGGAGGAAAGCACTGCACAGATAAAGCATGGAACCTGATCCTCTCTATTTCTAACAGGAACATATTTTTAAATATCACCTGTAATGCTAACATCCAGCACAGAAAAGATATAGAGACACTCAGGTTTGAAACTGCAACAATAAAAATATAAAAATAATAGAAATATTGATTACATTGCTTCATTTAAGTCCTTAAATTTTCTCTGGGTCTCTAAGTTAGCCAGAGAAAATTCTTTTTCCTATTTTTTCCTATGTTGTGTCTCTGTTTAATCATTTGATTCTTAGGTGGCAGTCAGCTCTCAGGCTGACCTTCCTGACAGCAAGAGACAGAAGTAGTGAGCCCAAGACATTTATAACCCACACTCTACCAACACTGTGCATGCATAGCACTTGGGAACCAGATCCCCAAAATATTCAGATGTCATGTTCTGTGCTGCTTGCCTTGGCTCTATAAACAAGGCCCCTAATGACCAACTTCAGGCTCACCTACTTTAGCTCAAAGGCTCTTAGGGTTATTTTCCAACAGGCCAGTCTCCAAGTCTGAAGGTCCTGAGAAGAGTTTGGGGGTTTGTTTTGTGTTTAACTGACAATAACAATAAAAGTGAAAAGAAAAATAAATAAAAGAAAGGGCAGAGAATACTGGAGGTAGAAGGGCTTGTGGTATTCCTTTCTGTTAATGAGCGAAAGTGAAAGCTGTCCCTCTGTGTCATTGTCTGCCTTGGTTTGCTGTATTTTATCCCATTCTTATCTGGAGTACCTTCTACTTGAAGCACTCTCAATTTGCTTACAGACCTCTTCTTCCCTGCCACCCCGACCCTGAATCTTTGAAGAAAGGCAGAGAAAGAATAAAACAAGCTGGAGTGGGAGATTGGACATAAGACATTTTTATCACAATCCTGAATCTTACCTGCAGCTTTTTTTTTCCAGAAGGAGAGAGAGAGAGAGAGAGAGAGAGAGAGAGAGAGAGAGAGAGAGAGAGAAAGTTGGCTCAAGAAGAAAAAAAAATAATAAAAGCTCCAGTTTTGGTGTGAGGGTGTCTAGCCAGCCAAACTCCAACTGAAGATAAGCTAATGTGTCCCTTTCCCCTCCAAACTGGTTTTTAAAATTCAACCCTCAACTTTCAAAAATCTGTCTCTAATTTCAAACTCAAATAAGCGCACAGCATGGTGGCTTTTGTTTTGTTTTCTTCTCCCCAACTCCTCCCTGCGGTTGCATAACAAAAGTGTCTAAATTCACACCATCTGGCCGATAAAGACACTGGCCCCACTGCCCGGCTGGCCCATCTGATTAGGGCCCTGTCTAGCCTGCGCCTTGTGGCGAAAAGTCACAGCTGTGGGGTTTGCTCACGCTCAATACAACTCTGTTATTAGCCAGCTGTAGGCCTTGAGAAGACTTCTGTTCAAATTATAATATCTTTTAACCCTCTGAGCATTGAGGGCACAGGGGTGGCTGGCAGCAATGTAACACCTAGATATCTCCTTGCTAATAATTGGCAAAATGAACTAAGGCAGGGAGAGGAGGGCCCAAGACCACTGGGGAAGGGAGAAAAAGTTATTCCTAAGGAGATGGATTTTACTTCTTTGTTTTGTCCCCCCCCCCCGCCAAAGCTATTAATGAATCTTTTCCTAACGATTACAGAATATCAAATCATTCTCAGAAATACCCAGGTATGCCAAACCGGACCATGCAAATGAAACTAAGTATGTGCACTAATCATTGAGGAACTGGGTATTTTATTCATGGTCCTATCCTTCAAATGTGGGAGAAGAAACTTTTCCCCTTCCTGAGAAACCAGCCCTCTAACAGATGAGTGAGAAGTTCCCTTTCTGAAGCATCCATATTTGCCTATACTCACCTCATCTCTCATCCCCCAACACACATAACCACACACAGTGTACACACACACACACACACACACACACACACACACACCGCACACTGTAGACAGTAACCCATCCAATGATCATTTATTTGCCCATAATTAATATTTGTTTGAAAATCTAGTTTGGAAGGGAAATAAGAGTGCATCAACCCAGGTCTCTGTTGCAGAGAAGTTACAGTACATTAAATTTTTATATTGTGTTACTAATGCAGACTAAACTAGAGGCTTTAAAAATTGATGCTGCTACTTAAACAGCATAAAATGAGGAGGATTTGATTGGGCTTTAAAAAATAAAAATGCCAGCCATAACTACAGCTGGGGTGTGGGAGTATCATTTAAAGTGAGAGGGAGAATTCCTCCCTCCAACAATGGGCTACTTTGGAGCTTTCTTTTCTTTTAAGGCTATCTCTCCAAACAAGGACATTTAAAAGTGTAGAGAGGATAAGAAACCTCCATTTCACTAGTCAACCAAATCAAAGCACTCTGACTATGCAATCTAGATATTACAGGCAAGTACATCTAAAAATAATATTTTCTTTCTGAACAAACCTGTCAAGGTGCCCTGGAATGATAGAGTATCTGCCCATTACCCAAGTCCTCACCAAGCTGTGGATCCTAGGTGCCCTTCCCTTGAAGCCACTGGGCTCAACTTAGCCTTTTGGTAAGTTTGCTTTTCTAATACATGGCCAGAAAGTAAACAAGCACATCTGGTTGCTAAGATTTCTTCCTGGTTGGGTTGAGGAGGAAGAGGGGGCTTGAGGGAGCTGGTCTAGAATAGTTTCTACTAAATCAGATGGACTACCTTTATCTGCAAATGACCAAGTCTGGAGTAGAAACAAGAGAACAGAGGAAAGACTTCGGAAGCCGGGGGGGGGGGGGGGGGGG